TTGTGTGCATTATCTCTCCAAAGGCAATAGATTACTGAAGAGTTGAGGTGGTGTGTCTGCTCTTGTATGTATGAAGTGATTCATATTGAGTTTTGAAAGCTTTTAGAGAAGAAATGACCGACAGTGAGTCTGATGTGGCAACCCAGAGAGGTACATTTTCCAGTTTTCTTTTCTGCTACACAGCAACATAGACAACAGGGTTAGTGAGTGGGCTGCTGGCTCCAGTTGGAGAATGAATGCCATAAAGGGGTGCCTGTAGGTCAAGGAGCCTGTTGTCAGATAAAGTCACCGCACAGCTCAGGGCCGGCTGGTGAAATAAGGGCTTCCTCTGCTATTCATGCAGCCATACAGGGAGATTTATTGCACTCAGTGTTGAGGCGGTGCTACAAAAACCTGGGGAGAGTCAAGTGGAAGCATAAGAAACATACCCCCTTCAGCCCTGTGTATTAATACTTTAAAGTTAAAACATAAGTCATGTCATTTAAGTTGTTTAATTATTCATCATGTTATTGGCTTGGCTCTTGTTTTGGTGACCAGTGATTTTCTCTATCCATCCGTCCATTTTCAATCTCTTATGCAGGTTCAGGGAGGCAGCAAAGTAAACAAATAGTCAAACCACTTCCTCCACATCTATTTCTTTTGGATCCACATCCTTTTGATTTAGTCAGAGACTCAGAATCGACTTTTAAAAGCAGGTGTAAAAACCTTTGGGTAGGAAGGAAATTGAATGGTTGGAGATGAGGAAATGTATTTGATCGTTAAATTGTAGCTTATGCAGTATTAGTATTAGGCCTTGGCAATAGATACTTCATCAGTAGCAATAAGAAAATTGTTCAATACAATATTGATAGTTTCACTTGCATTAAATGCAAACCATCAAAGCACATAACAAATACATCCTGGCTCATAAACAGTCCCTTGATAATGGAGCTTGCTATGAGTGAATAACCAAAGCTGCTTCCACCCTTTGGAGTATACGACATGTCGTCAGTCGCAACCTACATCTGTTATATCTCAAGAAACAATCCAGAGGCAGTCCACGATGGAGAGATACTCAGCAACAATACTGTATGAGAAAAAATTTACATTACAATTACCTGTGTGCCTTGATACATAAAGTGGTTAAATTCAACCTTTTTTCACCGGGTCTTTATTAGAAATTCATTACAAATGATCAATAATCACTGATATCGACTGAAATGAAGCATTACATTGTGATACATACTTGTTTTTATTATATATCATGGGTATATAGGTAACTTAATATAGACATAATCTCTACTATGTTTCTGACCTTTGAATGTTACTGGACTTACTAACACGTTCCCAAACTTTTTTTTCCCCTCCAGCACTTACAAAATCCAGCAAATTTCCAAACAGCAGCGACCGAGTTGCTGGACTGGTGTGGCGACCCCCGAGCCTTCCAGCGCCCCTTCGAGCAAAGCCTGATGGGATGTCTAACGGTAAGTCGCCGGTCGTGACCCCCACCCCCCTTCTTGCGGCTTCATACTTTGAAGGTTCAAGGACAATGAAAGGGCCGCTGAAACAAATGCTGCATTGGCTCTTTCCATAACTCCCTCAGGGATATGAGGGAACTAATGTTTAGCTGCCTGATCTTCACTGAGGTCACTGGAAAATAAAAAGCATTTCACCCTTTAGAAACTACTGAGATTTAGTCACCTTTCAGTGACTTCAGTTACAGTTTGTGCTGTGGCTCATGAAATCAGCACACTGGAACATGAAAAGGAGTGCAATAACGTCCTCAAACCACAAAGCAATCAGTGCTTATAGGAAAAAATACACTTACCAAGCCTGTAATTCCCTTACTTAAATGTCTGGGGGCTTTTGATTAATTGAATAATTAGTATCCCATGACATTCGAAAAAAAGACATGACTGTTTTGAGACGTATACTGTAAACAAAGAAGGATTTTGGCCAAAATGGTAAAAGATGGTTTGCATATTTTGCATTTTACACTAAACTGTCAAAAGAGGCAAATATTCTTTTGTAGCCTGAACAATCGTCTACTCTCTCTCATGTGCATTTGAAGGGAATACTCCACCGGAAATCTCATATGTGTATCACCTAACCTCTGTAGTTTTTAAAGGTGGCTCTTTCGTGGAGGACAGCAGCTTGGATTTACAGGAGTTACAATGGATTCCAGAGTTTATACAGCTTCATGGTAAAAAAAAAAAAAAAGGATCAAAATGTCATCAAACTATTCCTAATTCGGTACTCCGCTGTCTGACACTCATATTTCCGAGAAAATGTTGCTAAATACACAGCTTCTGTTTGCTAGCCGCAACCAACGTTAGCAAATGTGGCTAGGTACGTGCAAAAAAGATAAATAGCTAAATGCAGTATTGACAAATAGAAGCTGTCCATTTAGTCATATTTTTGGTATATTTTTGTCAGAATAGTATTTGAAGCATACTGAGTATCCAGAGGGACAATTTCATCAAGCAAACTATACCTGAGCACACCGCTTACACAGCATATGTTGCTAGCTGTGCAACTGCGTTAGCTTACATTGGTCACAAATTACAAGTGTTAAACAGCTAACTGTGCTAACAACAAACAGTTGACTATTTGTTCATAATTTGGCAAACACATATGAGTGTTTGGAACATACTAAGCATGTGGATAGGCAGATTAGTGTTTTGAGGAGTTTCTATGGACGATGGTACTTGTTTTTTTCTGTTTTGTTTGTTTGTTTGTTTTTCCATGGCTCTCAGCCACCATTGGAATCCATTGTAACTGTTTTGAATCCAAGCTGACTACAGCTGCCGTCTGCCACAAAGGAGCAAACTACAAACTGTTCAGATAAGCCACTTTTCAAACCAACAGGGGGTGAGTATTTAATAGATTTTTATTGGAGTATTTTCTTTAATAAAAACCTCTTCTGAATTATTCTGTCTCTGTGCAGACAGGAGACCTACTAAAGGAATGATTTACTGTCTGTCCTGTGGAAATTTTGGGCCGAGAGACCGAACAGACAGTCAGGTAGAACAATGGATGGACTGCGGATGTGTCACTCACCTGTCACCCTGGGCCATACTGTGCTTTAACATGCACATTTCCATACTGCCTCCAGCAGTAGATAAGAGATACATATAGCTCCTGTTGGGTGCAATTTGTAACCCTGCAGAGAAAGCATGGCTACAGCAAGCAAAGGAACCCAAGAGATTTGTACTTGAGCACCGCAGTGAAACCATTGTGACACATCCCTCCATTCAAGTGATTGTTTGTGTTACTGCTTTAATGTGCAGCAGCAGGTGCCTTTTCCTCCATTTCGCCAATTCAATTTGTTTCCTGCCGTGAAAATCTCAAGGCTTTTCCTTTTAGTTTATGGGTTGTACAGACCTTAGCGTGAGCCACACTGGGAGGGAGCACAGAGAATCTGATGTGATTGTGAAATTACCCGGTCTCAGACTGTAATGGCAAACACTTCACCCTGGTGCCTGTATGTTTGTATCTCACTGCTGCCTCAAAATTGGCATTTGGGGATGTCAGACAGGTGTCTACACTGCGGAAAAAATCATCTTCTACAAACAGCTAAATATTGTGTCATCAGGAGAAATTTGCTATGGTACCAAACAACCGTCTGACAATGGAGTAAGCAAAAATAAGATTTCTTGAAAACCAGTCCATTACGAAACATATCTAACCATGAAAACGGCCACAAAGGGTGCTTGATGCAACGTTGTTTGTCTGTGTAATCATCTTAATGTAAGAGTTAATAAGACATGTTTGGTTGTTTACACCTGGAGGTTGAATTGCCCTGTAGTGTGCACACTGCAAAAAGGGCAAATCAATGAAGTCATAGTATCTATATTGTAAATGAGACAATGGCGACTCTCTGTTGTCTCTGCTTTTCACACACATTTCACGTTATTCATTGCCTCACGACAGCAAAGTGGCAGAAAAGAATGAGTGACTACTGGATGGTAGACAATTCACCGCCACAACTCCACTGACTGTGTACAATTTAAGTCCTGAAATTAGAACTTCTTGTTGTAACTTCTTACACTAAAATTACCATTTAGCAAAATGTCCCTCACAAGTTTAGATTCTAATTAGACAGCCTATACTCATATATCTTCTTCTTAATGGGGGATTCCTATAAATAAAGGCCAGATATACATACTCTGTTTTGGTGTCACGTCAAGACTATACTTACAGGAGATAATGATATGGTGCAGGGAGCAGTGTTCAGCTGTACTACCTCAGGGCTTGTCTTGAACTTTTGGAGTGTGACAGCAGGATCGGGGCTATGAAAACCCAGGAATCTGTCTCTAGTGAGGCACACTGGTCCACACAGCATGTCCTAAAGGTCTGAATATCTAGAGCGGTTCTCTTTGAGCTGATAATGGCGATGGTAAATCAAAGCAACGTGTGCCACATAAGAGTGATTTACATCACCTCCTGTGGCATGTGGATTTTTCTCTTAATGTTTCCTCTCAGTGGGCACCGCTGCACTAGAGGCCACATTTTCTCCTCGTCTTGCTGTCCACCGACTCATATGGAACTGATAAACTTGGGGTGACTTTATCCTTTAAGTTAAACCGGGTCTTTGATGCTGCCAAACTTCACTCTTATGTAACATTCAGAATCTGGGAAGTTATCAAGACAAGACAAGACAAGTCCTTTCCTTTGATGAATTAAGCTACCGGGATGGATATTCAGTGTATTTTTATATATATAAGCAACCTATAGATGCAATGATATATCTTTAAAAATCTGAATTTAATGCCCATTTCAGATTACAAAAAATTTTCAGTGATGGCTGATTTAAGCAGTTTTTAAAAATCAGCTTCTGCATTTGAATGAATAAAATCAGGCACATCTATCCTTCAATGGTATGTCACTACATGTATTTAAATGCAGCTTAAAAATGTTACATTATCTCTTTTTGTGACTTTCTTTCTTTGAAGCAAGATATAATTAGATATAATTTAATGGGAGAATAAAGATAATAATAAACAAAAACCTTGCCTGAAAAGATTTAATGTTTTTTATTTTGTGTCAGTTTCAAATAAAAAGAACACAATTATCCACAAATCTATGAATCACCATGTCGGTATTCAAAAATGCATTCATTGACCTCTTATCTTTAATTTTGACCTATTTGTAGTTGTATCATATTACAGTGTGTGTGGTGGTAAACGTTTTTCAAGAAATAAAATATCTATATTTTAAAAAAAGCTTTAAATCTTACAAAGTTATTTCCATAATGGAACAGAATATCTGACATTGTCCTGACTGCATGCTGTCATTGTGTTCAGGTGGTCAGCCGCGTAGCAGCACAGCAGGGCTACGACTTGGACCTGGGCTACCGGCTCCTGGCCGTGTGCGCTGCCAACAGGGACAAGTTCACTCCAAAATCAGCAGGTAAGACCAGAGTTTTCTCAACCACCGTCTCAGACCATCTGGCCATGCTGGCCTATCCGGGTTTAAAGTCCCTGCCTGCATTCTTGGCAGCATTTCATGGTACCCACCCATTGCTACTAGACCGTATAAGATCCTGATACACCAGAAAAGTACTGTACACCTAACTGTGGACAGTATTTCAAGTAAACCAAATGGTGACTGGTATGTTTTATTTCATGTTATTTAGTATTTTAAGTTGATTATCAGACCAGGTTCTCAACAAGAGAGTAATGCAAAATACCCTTTCCTTTTTCAGTCTCACTGAGCATCAAGCATTACCCGCTGATATCTGCATAAACTTTGACTTCTTCATGTCGCATTTCACTTCCAAACTTGTTCACAACACCCCGATTTGGTTTCTTCTCTAGGGAGTTTTAGACAAAGTGTGTACAGTAGAATACTCCATTTGTCACACCCGACAAAAAACTACTGTATCAGTGATGATGAGTTCCTGTTTTCATATAGCACCGTCATCTTGGTACAGTGATGGATTATTGGGATGGATGTATACTGCTAAATGTTGTTATCAAGCTGGCGAAAAAGCATGCTGAAGCACGATGGGAATGAAGATGTATAGGCTGTCAGCAGCTCGGAAGATAACAGGAATATTTTGTGCTCCTTCACAGTTTTTGATTTGTGGTTTCCACCTGTCTTGGGTTACGGGGGAAAAGCGGGGTTGTGCAATTGCTTCTGCGTGCCCGGCCTCTCCGCTGAGCCGTCTTAAGTTGACTAGGACATGAAAGTCAGAGCCACATATTGTTTGAATTTTCACTTGTGTTTGCCTTTTCTGATTTATGGAGTCCATGGTTTTATATGTGGTAATATGAGGCTTCAAATCACGCAGTGTCACTCTTATGTCAGCCACAGGAGGGGAATCATTCTCCGCCTGCAATTAACTTACTCTGCCAAATGTTCTAATTCTACTTAATGCTAAATCAAATCTCAGGCCCTACTTTATGGGCTTAGATAAGATTGCCAATTGATTCTCTGTCTGAATAATTTCCTGCAACAGTAGTCATTTGGAAACAGGCAAGTACTCGAGTCTAGGCAGCATCCCAAAGTGCATTTCATGGGCAATTATGTACCTGTATATGCATGAATATTTTGAGAAGAGAGGCCTGTAGAAAGAGGGAGAGAGTCAATGGAAACCACTGAGGAGGCATTCTCCTGCAAAGCTCCCAGAAGCTTTTTAGAGTGGAGGTCCCAGTCGTGGAGGTTGTTAAGGCGGAGAGAAAGCCCTCTCTGGCAGCCAAGGGAGATGGCTCTTAAACGACACTCCCACAGGGCCCCATGGGCAGGACCCACTCCCTGACATCCAGCGGGGCCGTTGCCGAGTGACAGGGGAAGGGGAGTGAGTCACATGATGGGGCCGGGATGGCAGCAGCGGGTCAGCCATCCAAACACCAGAGACAGACGAGTCAGTGTCTGTCGTCCACTGAGGAGACTTTTGGAAGCCTGAATCTGCAGAAAACAAATCTGAGAAGCTAGGTTCAATCTGTGTAGAGAGGATGTATGGATGTAATTAAGTTCATGTTTAGTTGAATACAGCATTCTGTGCATGATGTTGTTTTAAGAATAATTAATTTATCCAAATCTGACAGTTTTCCTGGATGTGATCCAAGTTTTTTTTTTTTTTTTTAATTCTCTGCTCTTTCATAAATACAGAAAGTCAGATAGTCATTTGTTGCATAACACACTTTTTTATTGTTCTGGATATAAACAGTTTGAAACTGTTCCACCTTATTTTTGTTCCTTATCTCTGCTAGCAAAATGACTTGTGTAGCTTGTGTAATGTGTGTAGTTGTGTAGTTTTTTTTAAAAGTGTCCAGGGAGCATTTGAAGTCAAATCATATTCTTATAACCACTGGTCTGCTCAATCCAATCGTGCATCTTGTACTGTGCTCTGAAAATCTATGCTGGGTGGGGTGGAGGGGGCTGTCTGCCACAGAGGACATCATGTCAATGGATGAGCGCTAATAAGTAAATCAGATTTGGTGTCCCATTTTAACCAGGCCTAACTTGTCTTGGCTCTGACCCACGGCGTGGTCTAGCTATTACATTACTGTTATGTCATCTAAATTCCTCTCGAACATGGGAGAAAATTGAGGGGGATATGGTGCTGAGGGGAGAGCGGAGCTGATTTCAGCTGTAGGAAAATCAATGTTCACAGTCAACTTACAGCTGAAACAGGTTGTAGCTTTGACAAATTGATTCATTCAATAGATTAGTTTGTTAATTTCTTTGTAAGAAAAAGCTTAGAAGGGCAAAACCCAAAGAAACAGACCTTATTCCTAATGACACCAGCAATACGTATCTGCTCGCCTGAGGAAAACTTCATTATCACCTCCTATTGATTTTATCAGTTAACATACATAACAGCAAAGTGGGTAGTTTAGAGGTTTAGATAATGTTTGTTGTGTTTCAACTGCCTCCGCAGCAGACTGGAAATGGAAAACTCTACACATAGTGTGATTTAGTGAATTACTGATCTCTAGTAGACTAGTACTCAGGGGGATCGGCCAGTTGTAGTCCTTTTGCCTTTTTGTAAGCGGCCTACAATGCTCGGGCAGTGCTGGGGGAGGGGCGCCTGTCTGCTAGTAGTGACCTCTTTGTGAATGAGATTAGCCTGCTCTATTAATCTGTGATTACTTGGACTGTTTTACCGCAGGGCGAAGCCACTCACGTGGAGCCGTGGCGACATCAAAGCAGGGAGATCACTCGCTCGGTGTGGATAAACTCATCAGGGCCTCCTCTCTCTCTCTCTCTCTCTCTCTCTCTCTCTCTCTCTCTCTCTCTCTTCATCACAGAGTACATTACAAGCCCAGTTAGGCCTATTTCATCAGTCCCCTCCCGCAGGTCTGTGGTGGTTCAGTCTGGTTCGAGAGCGTCGACAAAACGCTTAATCACGACTTTTTTCTCCAAGAGGGTCAGAGTGGCACATTCCCAATAGTTTGCGCCTCACCAAGCTCTTGGAATTCCTCAGCCCAAAAGAGTGAAAGGAGGCACCAACTTATAAGGGAGGGAGGGTTGTTTCAGCTCTTCGAGCAGTTAATTCTTTCATGTAACAAACGCCTGGTAAACCAGCTATTCAGCAGATAATTAGTTGGGCTTCAGCTCTCGCTCTGTCAGACTGGTTTGTCTCCACATTCATGCAGGGCCGTTTCCAGGTTTGTTCAGTAGACATTGTGGGTTGTAACTAACAGCGTCCGCCTGATAAAAACATTCAAGCAACGGCGTTTTTTTTTATCATTTATTTCATCTTTTTTAGTTGGTTTGATAGTTGAGTTTTTATGGTGGGACTTGGTAGGTGTTTTTAGTTTTCCAGCCAGTTCAAGCATGAGGAAGCAGAAGCCAGTGTGGGAGGGGATGTTTGCAGTTGTAGATAAAGATTAGGCAGTGTGGCCAACTGCTTCAGGCTATAGAGAGCTAAAAAATCCATCTAGAATATCCATCATAACAGTTAGCCAAGTGAAGTCAATTTTATCCATAGCTATAAAATTAGAAGTTTGTCTCAAGAGGGCTTTAAAACACTCTATGATTAGACCCTTGATTCAGATAAGCAAAATAAGCTGCATGTAGACCGAGCTAGTAGGGACAGAATTCTAATGTGCTGGGACAGAATTACAATAAGTTGTTTAATATAAAGTACATATTAAGTGTGATAAGTTATAAGGTTTTAGGCAAAGTATGAACGTGTTGGGGGGTAGACTCTGAATCAAAGTTAGTAGTTAATTCCATTTAAAACAAAATCTACAATCCAGGTGAGAAAATTAGGTTTGGGCCAAAAAGCTATTAAATAGTTTTAATAATTGTCCTCAATTAAATGGAAAAAATAACATTATCTTAATGCTAGTAGTCTTATTGATTTTCTAAATGAAAATTCACTAGACAGGCAAATTGCAGAAATTCTCATTGATTTCAAAGGGAAAAATACTTTTATACTTCATACTGAAGTGGTTGAACTATTTACTTCGCTAGAGTGCAAATCTAACGTAAATTTCCTCTGAACTGTAGTTTGAAGTGCAGATCATACATCAGCTTTTACCGTGCCTTAAAGTGAAGTGGTGCTTAAGATGCGCAGGTCAGACTGAGCTGTGGAAAGGTCTCTGATTCTACACACAATACAGAGGTCAGATAAACACACACAGGCCTGCAGGGCTGTAATTTCTCTTCCCAGAGCTTTCCACACCAAAATGTTTTGTTTTTTTTAACTTTCTGCCTGCCTCTCCACCCGGTGTGCTTCAACATATAGTTTAGCTGTGGCTTTTCCTAAATAGAGAATAACACAGAAGTCTAAAAACAGTGTTGGTGGTCTAAACCTTGTTTAATTGTCAGCAGCGGTTTTATCTGAGAAAAAAAACAACCATTACTTAATCAAATTGAAATCCAGATTTAAGCCTTTATTTTCCTCGTACGGGAGATGTTGGTGAGTGATGTCCACTGTTATCTTAAGAACTTAGACCCAAAGGATGAGTGTTCACTCACCCCACCAGTAACTGTATAAATATATAACTCTGTGTTTAGTCCTGCATCATAAGGTGTACATATATTATGGATATGGTTATTTTTATAGAAAAGCTCTTTATTAAACCTCTTGAACGCTCCTTAAATTTCCCCTTAATATAATCCAAAATGTCTTGTATTCACGGCTGCACCTTTACATCAAATGGACATATTCTAGATGTGTTGTGAACCATTACACATTTCTCCAAACTTCAGTGCAATATGTTTGGTATCTTCGGAAGACGCTGCGTCTCCTCTAGAATTTAAAACACATTGCATGGATTTGAAAAAAAGCTGCACAACATGAGTTTGTAAACACGGACCCATGTCAGAGTTTACGAGGTTAAAGGTTTATTACGTGCACGTGATTCTTAGAAAGATACAGTATGCATGTCACAGAAGCTATAAATCTACACTGTGTCCTTTCTGCATTTGTCCAATCTGTGTTTTTTACACTATATGATGACTCCATGTGAAGTCGTCCAGCTAGCCATGATTGATGAGTTAACTTGCAGTAGGGGTACAGGGCAGTAAGTCACCTGTCGTGCACTTAGCTGATAGTAAATACCAGGAGAGCAAATACAGACAGGAAAGACCAGAGATAAGAGCTGTTGAGCTTGTCTTTTCCTTCCTCCTTTCTATAGTTGTCGCAGTTATTATGTCTGTGGCAGCAGGAGGTGATTGCTAGCATCTTCAGCCCCTCACATGTGGCTCTGCCATTTGCAGTGTGAGAGAATCGGATGTTTGCATATATAAATGAATTTACATCGTACCTCGAGTTTCTAATTAAATGCTTGTTATTGTACTTTAGCCACAGATCAGTTGCACTAATTTGACACCTGAATTGACTCTCTTCTGGTGAGTGTGAGTATTTTTATTTGCAGATGACAATAGACGCTCCAGACTGCCTCAGGTGGTGTGTCTGCCCACAGTTTACATGTTTTATATGGGTGTAATTATTTATCCAAAAGCTTTCTCGGGCTCATGTGTGCTGAAAGACAAATGTGGTCTAATTGGCCCCTCCCTCTCTGATTCCAACCCTCTGCGCATTAGGAAGCCACAATACCCAGCCTCCTCCTCCTCCTCCTCCTCCTGGTCCTCCATGCCCCTTAATTACAATGACTAGTTTGATGGATTAGGTCGACTGTATGCAAAGACAAGGTTTGGGGGCTGAAATCACTGCTTAATGTACCCACCTGAACCCATTTCTATCGCCACTTTTCGGCGGGACTTGCGGTGCGCCTCCCTCGAAACAAATGTTGCTTTAAATGAATTGATTGAGGCTTCTTTTACTCGTTGCTCTGGACCCAGGCCAAGATACAGGCTGTCTAGCACATTAGGCACCACCCCCCTTTGCAGGTTTGAAATGTGAGCTGCCTGCATTTTTTTCCTCTCCTCTCCTCCCTCCCTCCTCCCTCCCTCCACCCCTCCCCTCCCCTCCCCTCTCCTCCCCTCCCCTCCCCTCCCTCTCTCCCTTCTGGCGAAGTGGCTGTGGCTGCTTCTGTGTGATGTGTGTATTGGGAGAGCAGGCAATGGATCACTAGACAGAAAAAGAAGATACATCAATAACTGCTGCATACATCCGAGGTGAGGAGATAAGCATTTGGTTCTCTCTCTCTCTCTCCCTCTCTGACTGTCTCTCCCCCCCCCCCCCCTCCACCTCCTCTCTCTCCCTCTCTGTGTCTCCCCCCTCTCTCACCCCAACTCTGTCTTTAACCCTTTACTGCTGCAGAAGCCGGCTCCTAATTTTGCTGAATTATTTGTGGTGATACGTACCTTTCTTCCTCTCTGACCACAAACGTGTGTCCTCCTCTTCTCCTCGTGGCTGTTAGTGCTGTATGAAGTTTCCTCTCTCTCTCTCTCTCTCTCCCCCCCCTCCCGTTTTCCCTCTCATTGTCTCTGGGGTATTTGTTGCTTGAGTGCAAAGAAGCCGGTGGCAAGTACAGCAGGAGCCCATTAGCAATGACTCCATCTGTGATTGGTTTTGCCTGCGAAACGGAGAGAGCAGCCATGAATAATTGATGTGTATTGTGCAGTCAGTCACTGGACACGCAGGGAGAGAGGAGAGGAAAACAGAGAGAAGCTGCTGCCCTGAGACGCCGAGGAAAAGAGGGGGAAGAGGGAGGGAGGGGAGAGAGAGGAAGAATGTTAGAGAGAGGAGAGGAAGGTGGGAGGGATAGAGAGACACAGAGAAAGGCTTTAAAATAGCTGCTGGCTTCAGTAGTGCAGAGATTAAGGCTGCCCTGTATCGCCTTTGTTCTGTTGTTGCAGATTTGTGCTCAGAAGTGTTTCTAGACACATGAGTCCCCCTTTTTTCTGTGCAGTGAAGAGTGAGAAATAAGCAGGGACATTGCTGGAGTTAGTCTGGTTGAAATGCGGGTGGCATTTTAGACATGGAAGGGGGATAGAGGGGGGAGTCTTTGCTGCTGTGAATAGGACAGAGCTGCGAAGCTGTGAGCTGTCAAAAGCAGGAGACAACAGTTAAAGAGGGTTGTGTTTGCAGGGGGTTTATTCAGTGACAAGAGGGAAGGTAGAGCTGCTGCTGCTGAGAGTAACTTCACATTATTTTACCCCTGGGAGGGGGTGCAGATAGAGGGTTGATTCCTGCATTGGTGGGTGCAGGCGGGCACCCTGCCACGTCTTAAACTAACGGAATGGGGTTTGACAGTATGACGAGTGCCTCGCAGCGCCCCGCGTGATAGAGTTGCAACAGCTGACTGCTGCATTTGACCCACTTACAGCTCACACAGAAGGGGTCAAAATGGCCTTGATTATCTCTCTGAGTCGTGCTGACCTACTTGAGGCGGCGTTTTCCGCGAGACTCTTGGCAGTTTATCACACCTACTCCCCCTCGGTCCCACACAGCACAACCAGCCAGGCTCGCTGCAGAGACAAGCACAAATTTCCCTCTATGTAGTAATTTGCTGGTTTCAGATCAGTGATTCTGTGTTTCTCATGGTCCAGTCATGTCAGGTGCAACAGGTTTAAATTTCAGATATATACCTGCATTGAGATGCTAATGAACCTGTTTTCTTCATGTTCAACTTAAAGGAATACTCCATCAAATATCTATCTTCTGAGTATCAAATACTCACAGCGGTTACTGTACAATGGATTTCAATGCTGATCCACTGCGGGAAAAAGTAACAAAGCACCTAAAAGACCTCAAATCTCTCGTGCAGCACAATCCAACCTCAAACTATTGATGAAGCAACCGTTGTTTAGGCCACACTGAAAATTCAGATCAAGTAGATTATGCTGCTGCTGAGTTCTTTTGTTAAATTCCATTGGACATTTTGGTATAGATTTTTCATCATCATCAAACCCAAGCAACAACAGCAAAAGAGCAAGCTACAAACTTTTCAGAGCCACCTTCCAGGCAAAAAATAGATTTTGGGATGGAGTAAACCTTTAAAGAATGAGTTTCTGTTAAGAGAGAAAGTCAGCTGGTGTCTCCCATCGACCCCACTTGAGAATTATATTCTGGCATGTTGGTTTCTTTATTGTTCACTTTGCTTTCTCTCTACCAAGAGGGGGTTTGTTGAGCTGTACAGTAAAGTCCTGGTTTGGGCAATTATTCAATGATTTTTTCCCCCCCCTAAAATGTGTCTGTGGGACAGCTCCCAACATGCTAAGACAAGCGAGGTTTTGCAACAGGCGGTGTTGGTAAAGAGATGTCTGGCTAGCTGTAGTCCTCCACACTTCCAACTATTCATTACTGTTGTTTTGTCAGCTTCAATTAATCTCTTGTTGTCTGTATAAGAGATGTTTTTTTTTCCATCAAGTTGTGAAATTGCTCTGACCTTTTTCTTTTTTTCGTTTTTTCCGATAAAGTTCCAAATCAGAATAACAACAATCGGCATGCAGTTGATATTATTTGCGTATTTGCAGAAGATGCTGGTTGTTTTCATGTAGCCTTTTTAATGAAGGAACACCCAACCGTAAGCACTTACAGTTTGTTAACAGTTTGTTAACACTTCTTTTTATAGTGTGATCATCCAAAGATCAGAGTTTAAATTGTGATTGTAATTACTAACATAAGATCATCTACTTTCAGGGTGGCTGTCACAGTTATTGATATTATTTAGTGTTGTTGAAGCATGAAGCTGGGACTCCTCACTTCTTTAAATACTTTTTGACATGATGAAATTACACCAGGCCAACAAGTCATTTCATTCATCAAAAATGGGACAAAATTTCTCCTCACATCAAAGAGGAAACACAAGTACATCCACCTACTTGTTGAACAAACAACAGCAACAAAAAGCAGACTTCAGTGGGTGCACTGATATTTGATATTAATTTGTGATCAATCCCATAGGTAAAAAGTAGCGATCCATTTGCTCTCTTTTGTCAGCTGTGGATCAGGTATCAGTGTAGAGCAATGGAAAGTGCTTAACTTGATCTGCATCTACAGCAGAGCAAGTCACCTTCTGCAGAAAGACCTTTACACAATCTTTTATATGTGTTGTTCAGACGTTATGAAAACAGTGAAAAATGCTTTTAGAGATCAGTTAAGTAAGGTCTGGTGAAGAGACATGAATGACGGTATTGGACGATGCTAAAGCAGCACATTAAGAGGCATTAAGTAATCTATGACCTTCATCAACCTATACATATGAACAGCAGAGATTTAAACGGCATCAATAGAACTTAATTCCTCTTTCACACACCTACGGCTCGATCCACAACCCCCCTGCACAGAGAAACATAAGGCTTTTCACCCGTAAAGCATACCTGAGCTCTTCGTACACATCATTGTTTATCGACGAATTCTGATCAAGCCTCGTTGACTGCTTGGATAAAGAGCTACGCATTTGTTCATGTCAGATTTTGAGCAGTAATAGAAAAGAGTAGGCTTATTGATTAGCAGACTTCCCATGGTGATTAGATATATATTTTTAGTGTTTGTAGCTAAAATGTCTGCATTCCGTTAGTGTTGTGTCAACAGTTCTTAAACTGCCTGCATAATAATCTGTTTAACTTGAGTTTTTTGCGATTCCATAATTGTGCTTATTTCAAGTATAGTATGTTCAGTCATTCTCTCCTCTTCTGAGAAGGTTTTTAGTAGACAGTATGACCCTATTTTTTTACTCTACTACTACTCAGTCAATTCATAGGTTTGTCTTGAAATAAGGGAGCAACTCATAATCAAATGTCTGTCATTTGCTGAATATCTTCTGGAAATGTCCAGTAAAATGTAAAATTTGAACCCTACAGAAACCAACTGCTGCAGGAGGTGTCAGTCTGACTCAGGTACTTGCTGTGTGTTGAAGTGCTGCACAGGAATCTCATACACATTGGCTGATTTCAAGCAACCATCCCCATCACAGTCCTTACATTATGTCCTCACATTGGACATGTGTCGACATACTGTACATGGAATGACATCAGATGTGCTTTTTTTGGTTGGTCATTTAGAAAAGCTACATGGCTGCTGCTGTTGTGTTGTCTGTCAGAGTTTTACAGTATGAAGCATGTCACACACATTGTTTTATCATTTTGCCTGCATCATAGTTCACACTTGTTTTTCTCGGCTGTTCATTGAAGCCATTAACGATCTAAGTTTATGCTTTGTTCCTAATGGTGATTTGTATGTTAATTATACCCCCATCATGTCACTTTTGTGAAAAAGCAGGTAGTAAAAGTGAATCACAGTCAGAATGATCTAATGAAACCTAAATGATAGCTGTAAGGGAACTGGGACAACAAGCATAAATGAGAATGTAACAAATCAGTTGCTAAATATAGAAAAAATGCAACAGTACTGGGTTTCAGAACTGGGCCATATGTGTAGAATGGCAAAATGACAAAAATATGGAATATGAAATGATATTATGTGAATATGATGTAGACTTTAATGTTATTTGTATATGGACAAAATACCAGAAACTTAACTAAGACAAGAATGTAAAATAGAATAAAAATTACGTTTAAAAAACATTAAGAAGACTATGCAGTATAAAGTAGATTAAAAACTATGAACAAATTCAGGGAAGAGCAGTCCAATTCCAATCCAATTAAATGACTGAGATAAACATGGGAAATCTAAAAAATTCACATTATCTGCTAAATATATATTGTTTTTTAAAATTCTGCCTAAGGCCATACATCCAGTATAAGTCCAGTATAAGAATGATCTCGCCTTGTTTGAAATGGAAAAGGACTGAGTTTCATTGTTTCCATTTGGCTGGAGTGTTTACCATAAGGAAGCTTTTTATTCAAATCCCGCGCTGTTGCACATATGGAAGACTCTAATGAGCGTAGAGGGGTGCCAGGACCCGACCCAGGCTCCTCCAGTGTCTGTTCCTACTGTACTTCTAAAGGGAGGCTTTGACCCCAGGCCCACTGTGAAAAGGTCGCAGGTGAATCAGCCACCAGCGTATGCCACCGTGACACCACCGGTCCTGCCCAGCACCCTGAGGTGGGCACTAGTCCGGGCACATCTGCTCCGTGCCTAATTAGTATCATTGTAGATGACGGCTTAAGGGTGGGCCTTCGTTAATAGCAGCCTGTTGCTCAGGGAAACAGTCTGGCTCCTGTAAGCCGCTTCTTTGCAGGTCTACTCATCTGATAATCTGGTTGCAGAAGTGCACGGTTAAAAACACACTGTGTGCTGGTGCAGCCGGCCTCACTGTGCAGTTGGCAGGATTTCAGGTGGTCAGGTGAGAGGGTCATCAGTTAGACAATGAGAAAGTTATTTGTCTTGTCCAAGTGAAATGTAATTATCTGTGGCACACTAAGGATCATGTCAGTATTATATAATAGTTTATTCTTGTATCTCCTTAATGACAAATGTATTAATTAACTATTTTGCTGGCCATTTTCAAATGCATGCTGTACTGTTTTAGATTTTTTTAAATATGTATTTACATGGATTTTCACTCATTTCTGTGCAGTAAGTCAGTAAACAAACCCCTTGAACTTCAGTTGAGTAATCAGCAGTGAATCATATTTATCATGTTATGTATATTGCATTTAGAAAAAATAACATAGGAAACAAAAAAGCAAGAAAATTAGTAAATATTTAAAATTAAAGGTCAATTCTGCATTAAGTTAAGTAAAGTTACATTATCACTATGTAGTAATGCCAACTTTTCAATTCAAGCAACACTTAAACTGCCTTACTATGTGATTTTGACAAAAATGTACACCCACAGAACTAAAAGTAAATAGGAAAAATACCCCAAAAATCTAAAACACAAGGGCATGGTT